GTACAAAAGACCACTGATTGGTAAAAATTCTTTCAGACGAGATGCTGAATTTGACTTTGTTTCTCAACCAGAAAAACTAAGGCATTTTCAAGGATTTCTTCTAAATTTCTATTGTTGAATTCATTCTTTGCCACATTTTAAGTTCTATGATAATCAATATCATTTCTAAGAAAATTAGCTTCATTTATATAACCTAAAACAAGTACTAGTTGAAGCTAGCCATTATGAAACGATTAAAGTGAACAGAAGTCACGAGTTGCTTTACCTGCAAATTACGGTCACTTAAGGTAAGGGGCATAGAATCTATTTCAGTTTGTCGAAACAAATACCTCGTTCCAATTTGTTCCGCAAGTTTTTGCTGATTCAAAGCATCCGCTTTATCTTTGGTGTCAAGATACCGGCCTCGAAATGATGCGCAAATCTGCAAAGCCTCTTTCAAGTTGGAATGTGCCTGAGAAGCAACAGTGTTTACTAATTTATGGAATATATTAATTAGCGAAAAATATTGGAAAATCATTTATTTTGCTTCACAATATACAAGCTGCAAAATCGTATGACTTTCTCCAGATGTTGTGATTTGTGATGGCTAAGATTTTCCTTGGTATCTATCTGTTTTGACTAAAATGTCTCACAATAGCGACGCTATCAATTCAATTTTTTAAGATTAGAAAGCTATTCGAAAGAAAACTTACGCTGATCAGGTCATCCAGGACACTGAAATCTAGTAGGTCTCTCGCTCTTTTGACAACCTGATTCGAGATCATTCGCAGCATCCTTGTTAAGTTGCTTCCCTTGTGGAAAAATCTGGGGCACAAGATAAATGGTTAGAAGGTGTTAATATCAAGTAGGAAAGAAAGAGCCAATGCTAGAAACGGCTATCTGTCCTTTACCGGCTTCCAGGAGACCAGATATCTGTAAGGTTAGCGCAAAATAACCATGCATATGGAAAAAAATAAGTAGGAAGAAAAAAAGGAAACGGCTGATATCAAATCATGACGAGGTTGTTATAAATGTCTAGAAAAGATAAAGAATTATGCTTTAACATGATGCTACGCGGAATTATGATGTTAGACGAAAACTTAGAACATTAACGTTTAAGCAAGCAGCAGCGTAAACAAATTTGGTAAAAAGCTACCAAAGAAGACATACCTGGAATGTTGCCATACCAAAAAGAGGGTATGCATCAATGGAGCAAAATTTGGCATCATGTCTGATGCGAGTATTGAATAGGACAGCGATTCAAACCAGTGGGTCATAGTGCTCAAAAACTGCAAGTTCTCGTCTGCTTCCCGCTCAGCCTGAACAATAAAAGGTTGATGTGATAATTAATAAGATGGTTAGAGCTTGTCAGCTAAGATACAATTACGGTAAGAGAAGGGCAGCAAAGGCAAGCCTAATATCTGCTAAAGGGGTCTTTAGCGGAGGTAGACGTGGCTTGAGGAACAAAAATAAGAAGAAAAGAAGGACGTAGAGCAAAAGTAGAAACAGAAGAAGGACGAAAAACAAGAATAGAAACAGAAGAAGGACGTAGAGCAAGAGTAGAAACAGAAGAAGGACGTAGAGCAAGAGCAGAAACAGAAGAAGGACTAGAACAAGAGTAGAAACAGAAGAAGGACGAAGAACAAGAGAAGAGGGACCGAAAGAGAAAGAAAAATAGGAAAATGGCAAAAATGAAAAAAAGGAAAGAGCAGATGAAAAAGAAGAAGAAAGAGAATAAAAACAGAAGCAGCAAAAGAAGAAAAATATAGAGCAGTAGATGAGGAAGCAGCTGAAGAAGTAGAAGAACAAAAAAGAAAAAGAAGAACAAAGAAATAGAGAGAGAAAAAGAAGTAAAGTTTACAGAAGAAGGAAAAAAGAAAATGAAGAAGTATTGAGTGATTCCGAGAAATGAAGAAAAAGAAAAATATAAATATACAATGAACTTCTATAAATATGAGTATGAAAAATTGCATAAATAGATTTGAATAATACTTATAATGAAAAGAAATATGATAAAATCGAAGATAAGTCCAGAACATGCCTCAAAGTAATAGATTGTATTTGTATTTGTACAGTAATAGATATAAGACAAAGTTAAGCAAATAGGAAAGAATAAAGGATCAAAGAACAGAAATGTTTAAAGTTTAATTGGATTGAATAATTTAATGATTTTTTAAAATGAAAAAAACTTTATATTTTCTGATATCAGCCTTAGAATGAATATAAATGTTTGGAAGCTTGGTAGTATCATTTACAAAATCAAGCAAAAAAATGAATATATGTATTTGATATTCCAGTTAAAAATTAAGGCTCACTTTTGAGATTTCCCTTTTCACGTTGTGAAACGACTGTGCGTATGTGCTGTTGGCCTCCTCCAAATTCATAAGAATATTTACTACCACAGGTGAACAAAGTTGCTCATTTATTCGCCGAATCTTTTCAAAATGATTTGCCCAAACCTAAAATCAAACAGCGTTGAGTCAAGACGTGCAATGCAATGCCATGCCCATTTCCAAAAGCTACATTTAGCTCGTTTTGCGTGGATTAATGCCATCAAGTCACTCGTTCAAAGTATACTGTTCTTGAATTTTACGACATAGCTATTTCACTAGAAGTACTAACTAGTGCAAAAAACCTACCTCAGCTTCACAAAGAGGCCCGGGCTCCTTCCCATGGCGTCTTGCGATCTCACTTTCAGGCTCAAGTTTTAGTGAATTCTAACAAAAAAATGCAATAGTTTTGGTTACAAGGCAAATGGTCACGAGGAAAGATCAAACAAAAGGAAGGGAAAATTTAGAAAAAGTGTTGTACACTTTAGAAATAATAAACAGCCAAAGAGCACAAAAAGAAAAAGTTTCTTGGGCTTATTTGCACTTATTATTCAAACTTTAGGGTGATGGATTGGAAAAAAGGAAAACTGCTCTTTCGCAAGGAAAACATTTTCGAAAAAAGGAAAACATAAGGCATAAAAATGGCAATCTATGGTCAAGACTGAGAAAATCTTGATGCTCGAAAGTCTGAATCATGGAGAGGCCAAAATATGACAATTTCTCAACATTTGATATTTACTTTAATTTGTTTTATCCAGCCAATCAAATAGGTTTCAAGAATATGTATCACCACCAGCTTTCTATGGCTGTATGCTGCAGCTTCGGAAAGAACTTCAATCGAAGGAAGCGGCAAGTTCACTTCACCCTATAGCAAAAAAATTGTTTTGGTTTAAAACCAATCACGTATTTTTGTTTCTTTATGAAGGTTAGTTTTGACTGTCGTTACAGCTGTGGAGGGAAAAAAAGAATAATAAATGCTTGAAAATTATAATTTCTTTATCTTCCTTATCTTCTATTGAAATTACTGGAATTTAATTATAATTTATCTAAGATCTTTTGATGGCATATGAAATAACCTCTTCAAGGTGACATATCATAATCTGCAGTTGTCATAACTTTTTAAACTACATTCAATAACAATTTTAAAAGGCGTTTGACACATTGGTAACTCCAAAAATGGCTAGGAAGTAAAACCATTTTATTTTATATCTTGTTGTTTAATTTCGAGCTCCTTATCTTTGATATTTACTTATATTTACTAATAAAAAGCTGCTAACCTACTTTATTATTCATAGTCTCCTGTCTAGACTTTGGAGCTCATACATACAAAACTATCAAATGAAGGAGTTGAAATTTTCTGGAAACGCTTTTTATATCACATTCATAAGTGCTGTAGCAAAACTTCCGAAAAGCCTGTATTTAGAAAGATAGACATTTGCACTTTGTAAAGCGCGAGAAGTGACCTAATGATCGAGTAATAACTATATTTTTATATTAATGAAACTTTCAAAATCATTTCCCTGACCTAAGCTGTTTCCTGTAATAATAAAAACCTAATTGCATTCATTGATTTTAATTAAAATTAAAATTTGTTTTCATGCTTGCTTCATCACTGCATAATTTTAGGCATCATTGAGAAAAAAATTTATGCATATTTGATGTTGCTTAAGCTTAAAGGAAGAGTTTTACGAGCAAGATGTTTTTAATAGTACCTTCATCTGCCTTCGTTCTTCGTCTAAAGAAACAATTCATTTTTTCAATGGCTATTTATTTATACGAATCATTCAAAACCCACTCAAATCTCGGTACTTTTGCTACATATGGTTGAGTATAATCTATCACAGAAAAGGACTAGAACTCCATGCTGTACATCGTAGAAATAGACTTGATACTTACCTCGATGTTGCCATTGATGATCTGCAAGCTGCTAATGAGCCTGTGTACAAGGTCCATCAGTTTATCTGCACTTGGCCCACCATTCTGTTCAATACTTAGAAGCGGCAGGAAGATTTCTTTTGCAAGAATTTCAAGATGCTGCACTGCATTTTGACTACATGA